CCCCAAAACCCCAAAACCCCAAAACCCCTCAACGATAGGTTAAGATGAATTTCAATATCAATTTAAATAAAAAATAAATGGGTTGCACTGGTGGGAAACCATAAAAGATGGTAAAATTGAATTGAAGTTTAATTCATTACTTAGGCATTTAGGTTAAGTCCTAAATTAGACTTGAACTAGGATTAAGATCCAGAAAGACCAGTTTAGGACTTCCCCTATTCATCAGGGAGACTAAGAGATATAGACTATTAAGCCATAATTTAAGCTGGAAAACTTTGGACTGATCCACACTTCCGACCTGAACTGAGTTCAATTATTGACGGTGGCATGATGCGACCAGAGAGATTGAAGTCATGGGAGACATTTACTTGGAAGCGAGCTTCCGAAGTCTATGAAAAAGGAAAATTCTCACTCTATCAAACTATAAACCCAAATGACATCAAGCAAGGGTATTGTGGTGACTGTTATTATTTGTCATCTATTGCTTCACTCGCAGAAAACTAAGAAAGAGTTAAAGCAATATTCTTGACTAAGGAAGTCAATGATGCTGGCTGCTATGCTATGAGGTTTTACATAAATGGTGAGCCTAAGACTATTGTAGTAGATGACTATTTCCCTTATTGTAATCATAAAGATGAATGGGCTTTTAGCAGAAGTTCATCAGAGAAGGAAATATGGGTACTACTGCTTGAGAAAGCCTGGGCAAAAATTTATGGAAGTTATCAAAGAATCGAAGCTGGTACTACTGGAGAAGCATTACCCGCATTAACTGGTGCTCCATCAGAGTTCATGTTCCATGCAGAGGAAGAGAATAAAGAGTTGATTTGGAAAAAGATTAAAGATGCTGATGACAAGAATTATATAATTGCCACGGCTGTTTCATCCGCTAAATAAGGAAAGACGAGTGACGAAATGAAAAATGTGGGATTAGTGGACGCTCACGCCTACTCTTTGATAAAGACTTATGAGGAAGACTTAGGCAAAGGTAAAAAACTAAGACTTCTATAAATAAGAAATCCATGGGGTTTCAAAGAATGGACAGGAGATTGGAGTGATAAATCGGATAAATGGACTCCAGCTCTGAAGGAAAAGCTAGGTTATGAAGATAAAGAAGATGGAGTGTTTTTCATTAGTTTCGAGGATTATATTAGCTTCTTTTACATCACAACTATCTGTAAATATATAAAGGAAAACGATCTATCTGTAATGGCTGATCAACATCCTTAAGGCGAGTACTGTGTTCAAAGATTTACTATACCTAAGTCTTATGAATCACCAACTGTGTTTGTATTGAATTAAATTCATGCAAGATTCGTAGATGAAACTATGAGAGGCAGTTATAAGTATGCCCCAATGAAGTTTATTATTGCAAAGATAATAGATGGAAAGTCATAAAATGCAGCTGGCTAACCAGAGGAAGAATTGGCCTTTATTGATGGTGATTACATATGTTACTAGCATTCACATATTGAATTAAGAAGTATAAAAGCTGGTGAATATCTTTTATTTTTCAAAGCTGAATGGGATGCTCTTAATCCAGTTAAGAAACTAGTAATGGATATCTACGCCCCTGATCCAATAGACATAAAGCGAGTTCATATAAATAAGTTCCCTTATTCAGTGTTCAGTATGATGGATGAATGGTTGGAATAAAGACTTATTCAGGGAGCTAACTATGAGGTGCCTGTAATGTCATCACTTATCGAGTAATACAACTAAGAAGATATATAAAATATCAAATCCTTAAATGTTAAGTTTAGCACTGCTGCCCAAGGAGAAAAAATCTTTTACAAAGTAAAAACTGGTTAAAGCGATTCAATGACGAAAACACCAAATGGATTAAGTGAAGAATAAACTGTAGAAATGATGCCAAGAAGTATAGTTTACAAAAATCATCCTCTCGATGATGTTTTGGATCAAATAAAAATAGATATAATTAGGTAGCCTATTAATCAGATGTTTGTCCTTCGCCCCTAAACTACCAAGATCTATACATCTCAATCCTATTCAAAAGTTATCAAGGATCAATAGCTTAAAGCCTAGAAAGAAGCTCATACTTAATTTACAGGTGTCCACTTATCGTTCTCAAATGTCCCTAACATCAAAGATCCTTCAGTTACAGAACTTTAAATAGATCTTAAAGCAATCAATGACAGAAATGTGTTCTGTTCAGAGAATGTAAATTGCCCTCCTCTTTGCATTGACTTGGAAGTTAGTTGTCCGACACTTAAAAGCAATCTCATTATGAAGAATATCTTTGTGGGAAGAGGAGAAAAGAAAATTAGGAAACTTGAGGGTCACATAACTTAGCAATCAAATACTTGCTTCAAATTTGTAGTAAGACCATATAACCCACTAATGAAAGTAATTGAAACTGAGTCAAAAGAACAATAAGACTAACTTAAGATTAATGGTAAGGAGTTGACTGAGAAAGATGCATAATAATTTGAGGTTAAGCAGGAATAAGAAAATTACTTAGAGGAGGAAATTAAAGAGGATGAAAGAGATGCCTTAATAGAGAATGGGGGTGATTTGGAATTCCCAATTAAACTTGATGAAAACAGTGGAGGAGAAGAAGAGTCTAATGATAAACAAGAGCTTATAAGCAAGCAGGAAAGAGAAGCAATGGATTAGCAGGAATAAATGGCTGTTAAAAGAACTTATAAGTGAAAAATAGATTGAAGGTGATCTTTAAATTTCTAAATTTTGATCATATAAAAATCATAAATTCACTTAAAATAAACTATAGAATCAATAATTCAAATGGGGTTTTGGGGTTTTGGGGTTTTGGGG